GGCAGCCAGGTTTAAACGCACGAATTAAGCTGTGACTGCCAGCTGAAAGTGGGAATGTAACTATTAGCCTTTTCAAGGTAAGGACTGTGTTTCACTTCCAGCCAGCAGTCCAGTGTCGGGTCCAGGACTCTCTGGCTGGGCCAGTGTCGGGACACAAATTTCGACGGCTCAGAATCATTCATTGGAGCAGAACTGTTTGACCATGGACTTCGGGTTCAGTGTCGATGATCAACTGTACGTGTGCAGCTCATCCTGCATTTCCAGCAGTGCTTCAATCATGTACTCACGATCCCGGAATGGAGCATAGTAGGCTCGGTGGTTGATCCACCTGACAATGGCTTGTTCCATGGTCATCGAGGCAAAGGCCATGACTAGGACACAATAAGCAGCACAGGTCCTGTTAATGCCACCGTAGCAATGGACAAGCACACGAATTGGCCTCTTCTTGCCTCCACGCTTCCGACCACCTCCCTGAAGCTTCATCGCCTCCAACAAAGCAAGAGCATTACCGAGCTCACCAGGGAATGTCTCATCGGCCACCTTCAAGGCACTCTGCCTTCCATCGGCACTCTGCCTTCCATCAGCGGCTCTTCCGAACAGGCTGCCCATGTCACTTCCCTTGCTGAAGCCCTTGTCATAGGAGCAGCCATAGCCAAATGAGCCCTTCGTCGATGCCTTCTGGCTTTGCATGTGATTGGAAACCTGACAGGGGCCGCTGTAGCCCTTGCTGATTGTCTTGCCCTTGCCCCTGCCGCCATTGGCCTTGCCCATCATTTTGCCCTTGATGGCACTCTGCCTTTGACTCTGGCTGAACTCCTCTGCTGAGCGCTGCCAGCACATCATAATCTTTCTGAAATCTGAAATGAGGCGGCGCCAAATGGTCTTGAACTCATGACTTCTTTGTTCAGCATCAAAGTCATTGGCATGTGTTTGATCCCAGCCACCATACCGAAGATGTGCAGTGCCAAACGGTCCACAATTCGCCAAATACTGATACCAGTCCCATGGCTCAAAATTCCGAGGTCTGTCATCTGCATTCATAGAGATGACAATGTCAGGCTTGACCCGGAGCTGGTCATATCGGATCGGGCAACCAATACTGCCAACAAACAGTTGCCACTGGGGATGGTCGTAAATCAAAACATCATCCATGGGCCACGTCTCGACATCATGCTGGCATGGCCGAGGTGGCGGGATCGACCCAGGCAGCACATCTGTCTGGCCGGTCCATGCTTTGTACAACTTCATATCCATATCTCCGAAATCTGAGATGGCCTCAACTGCCAATTTGATTCGTTGATCCAATTGTGCAGCCCTTTGGATCTTTCGGAGCCCGGTGGTATAGTCGGCAGCTGATCTGCCACAGTGTAAACAATTCCACCGAAGTTGTTGCACGGCTTCGTTCCAGTAATCACTGCCAAGGTCAATGTGATTGGCCTGATTCTGATGGTCAGCAGCAGAAGTCTGGCACTCTGCCTCGGAACTCCCTGAGCACCTTGAAACGGTCGTCGGCATCACTGCTTTCATCGAGCACCCAATTGTCCAACGATTAAAACATTAACAGTGACTAATGCATCACTATACAGTACATTAACCAATGATATGTAACATTGTGTTACTACTGTTACATCAGTATGAATGAATCACTTGATTATCTGGCCGGCAGATGTCGATCATGTATGGTGCAAGGCAACTCACTGACAGACTATGCAGGCAGGCAGGCAGGCAGCCAGCCTCGGAGACAGCAGGGTCCTGAGGACGTCACTGCCACCCGGCACTGTGTAGTCAGCATGTCATGCTGGGTAACCTTTTGGAATCCAAGTTGCGCACACTACCGCTGAGGTCTCCAATCGGACAGTCTAGCTCTGCTGGCTAGATCGTCGAATTCAAAATCCTCTAAGCACACGCAAACCCGGCACTCTGCCTTCCCCAACATCCGTAATGCGGTCTCGGAGGCTGTACAAACACGATGAATCACTGATTCATCATTGACGACAGAGCTTCGTCTCGCACGTCATTGTAATATAAAATTCCTGGCACTCTGCCTTCACTGTAATCCTGCATAAATCTCGGAAAGAGTACGTGCAGGATCATATCATTGATATGCCAGTCTACTTGCAAGACATGCCCACGCTCTTCAGAATTCAGAAAGAACCACAATGTCGAAAAGGACTCCTCTAGCAGCGCGTCGAAATAAATCACATAATCATCGTAGTCACTGTCCATGATCGAGGCCACAGTGCTTGCACGCTCATCGGCAACCAGAATCCAGTCCGAGTCCAGAGACTCACTGTCACTGCACGACATCGACGACATCTGCCGGCTTGCAGGGGGGCCTACTACGACTTAGACTAGAGACAGAGCAGGTCGTCGGCATCACTGCTTTCATCGAGCACACAATTGTCCAACGATTAAAACATTAACAGTGACTAATGCATCACTATATAGTACATTAATCAATGATATGTAACATTTTGTTACTACTGTTACATCAGTATGCATGAATCGCTTGATTCTCTGGCCGGCAGATGTCGATCATGTATGGTGCAAGTCAACTCACTGACAGACTATGCAGGCAGGCAGCCAGCCTCGGAGACAGCAGGGTCCTGAGGACATCACTGCCACCCGGCACTGTGTAGTCAGCATGTCATGCTGGGTAACCGTTTTGAATCCAAGTTGCGCACACTACCGCTGAGGTCTCAAATCGGACAGTCTAGCTCTGCTGGCTAGATCGTCGAATTCAAAATCCCCTAAACACACGCAAACCCGGCACTCTGCCTTCCCCAAGATCCGTGATACTGTCGCGGAGGCTGTACAAACACGACAAATCATTGATTCAGTGACGACAGCCATTCGTCTGTCACATTGAAATATAAAATTCCTGGCACTCTGCCTTGCCTAAAATCCCGCAAAAGTCTCGGAAACAGTACGAACATGATCTGTTCATTGATATGGAAGGCTGCTCGAAAGACTTGCCCACGCTCTTTAGAATCCAGAAACATCCACAATGTCGAAAAGGACTCCTCTAGCATCTCGTCGAACGGAATCACATAATCATCGTCGTCAGCACTGTCCGCGACCGAGCCCGCAGTACTTGCACCCTCATCGTCAACCAGAACCCAGTCCGAGCCCACAGACTCACTGTCACTCCACGACATCGACGACATCTGCCGGCTTGCAGGGGGGCCTACTACGACTTAGACTAGAGACAGAGCAGCTGTAACACGACTATAGTAGATTACGCAGGGCAACAGCGAGCACAACTGCTGCAGCGGCAAGTTGCGATACATGACACGCTCACTGACTATGCAAGGCAGCTTGTCCTCTGCGATGGCAGCATGTCCTCGGGATCCTCGTCATGAGCCTCGGTGCCAGGACTGTACCATAATAATGGAAGTAGCTGAAGCAAGCTGATGCTGAGATCCCAGCAGTTGGCATCCACTTCTCGATGGGCTGGAAGCCGATGAAGACCGATGGGAGAGAAGGAAATGGAAGAGAAGGCGTTCACTAGGCTTGGATTCAAACCGAACACTTAGACCTGGCCAACGGTGTGGGGAGCAACCCCGATGGGGCAGGGACTTAAGTAAGGCAACCTCGAGAGGCTCGACTGGCACTCTGCCTCTGTCGATCCAAGTCGCAAGGCTCCCTAACTAACGTGACAAGCATGGATGGCCTCCCCTCCTGGTTGGGAGAAAAATAAAAAAGCCACAACCACTGGACCACCCCACCCGGCACTTTAGCCCATGTGCCCGGGTGTCATATGCCACTGCCCTGGCACGTTGGCCCCAAGGCGGTCCAGGTACCATCGACAACACCTGACACCCGGCCAACGGTGTCCACGAACCGAGATGGGCAGTCGATCCGTGTGGGTAAGGTGGCACTCTGCCTCTGTCGATCCAAGTCGCAAGGCTCCCTAACTAACGTGACAAGCATGGATGGCCTCCCCTCCTGGTTGGGAGAACAAATCAAGCCGCAACCACTGGACCACCCCACCCGGCACTTTAGCCCATGTGCCCGGGTGTCATATGCCACTGCCCTGGCACGTTGGCCCCAAGGCGGTCCAGGTACCATCGACTCAGCACCTGACACCCGGCCAACGGTGTCCACGAACCGAGATGGGCAGTCGATCCGTGTGGGTAAGGGCAAGGTCTCAAGGCAAGTCAACATGTCACTACGGCCTCCCTTCTTTGTTCAATCACAACCCAAAACTATTTAAAAAGATTAAATTTTAAAAATTATTAACTTCAACAACAAATAAACAACAATTTTGTAGACATACAGCAGCAGGAAACCAGGTAGAACAACAGGAAGCCAATTGACTCACTCAGAAACAAAATTCACAAACATGTATTTTTTACACCAAAAATAAAATAAAAGAATTTTAACAACTGTAAAACGCAAAAAAACCTATTTAAAAAACTTTTAAATACAAAACAATACTTTTAAATACAAAAAAACACTTTTAAACACAAATAAAGCCAACCACATACAAAAATGAGATTTTGGGTTCCTTTCATATAAGCCTTGTTGATCTAAACCCTGTGGTTCTGGTTCGGCGCAAAGGGTTAAGGATCTGAGTGGTACGGACCTCGGCACTGAACAGGTAACTCATCCACCCCCACCCGGTAATGCTGCTACTGTTCCAGAGGCCCCAGTGCTGCCCCTGATTCTTAGGCCGCACATCGTGACCACCCTGCGCACGCAGCACTGGCATGCTTTACTTAAACTGCCTGAGTTGCAGCATGAGCTCACTCACCACTGCCCCTTGTGTCGACAATGGTGTGTGGATACCGCAGCAGTGAAGCGCCACATGACAATCCAACATGCGGAGTGGACCGAGAAGTTTCCCAAGGTTGTTGAGCTCCTTAAACCCTTCCGTCGTACCATAGTCTTCCCATGTAGATACTGTAAACAGTCGCAGGTTAACCGGCACACACACTGGCGATCCTGCATTGTTCTTCAAGTTAGCTGCTTTCTACAGCTAACTCACGGCAGTAGACATGGAGGAGGCCCTGGAGATGACCGCACAGGAGAGACTCTTCTTCGGGGGAGTCTGTCCATCGCTCCAGTCCAAGAGGGAACGGGAGGAAGGCCCCTCGGAGAAAAGACCACGGACTGCAGACGCTCTGGCCTCCTTTCAGTCATCGGCGGCTGCGCAAATGCCACAGGCACCGAAGGGCAAAGGGAAAGGCAAGAACAAGGGCAAAGCAACTGCAAAGGGTCAATGGGGAGGCTGGAATCGACAGTCAACCACCTGGGGCCAGGACAACTGGCCCGCGGGACAGGGAGCATGGAGCACGCCATGGACTTCGGAGTACGGTCTGCCGGACATGGTACAGAAGCTCACCTCCTTGGCGATCAAACACGAATATGCCATCAACAGCATGATGCAGGACCACACGTTATACCTATTCGTGAAGCCAGGGGACGAGGGGCTGCTTCCAATTCTGTTTGCCACCTCGGAGAAATGGAATGCTACCCAGCAGACGGATCCGTCCCAAATCACGGAACCGCTGCGACTGGTCATGATGAAGGCGTTCCTCATCGAGCTGGGGCAGAGGTTGAAGGCCACGAAAGATCAACCGGAATCCATGCAGAAAGCCAAGGAACTGGGCTGGCTGACGGAACAAGGCCAGTGGAAGACTCTGGTCTGGGACCCGACAGCACAGGATCTCCGCGAGAAACAGGGAGGCAAGCTACACGTGACGGACGACTTGATCGGCCAATCAGTGGAGCTTCGCAAGCTCATCACGGACGAGACTCTGTTTCGGTTTCAGTCACTTCGGGGACTGAGCCGGGCTCCGCAGACGGCATGGGTCCAGCTAGCGATAGAAGTCAGTGTCCGGGACATGGGGAATCGCGTATGGGAAATCCTTCATTCCTGGATAGGCTGCGCAGCTTTGCACACCATGGGATGCCGTCTTCGCAGAGAACGCGGCGGCCTGTCGCAACAGGCCAGAACACTTCGCGGGTGGTGACGAGGCCTGGACGTGCTCCGCTTGCACATAACTCCCATAACCCCTCTAATGCTGCCGCCCCGACCCCACCCTACAACCTGTCCAGCTGGCATGTTCGTGACGCCATTCCAGGCCTGCTTCAGATCCTACAATGCCTTCTGTGGCCGCTCTGGTGCGACACTACCAGGTCCCAGCAAGTGCATGGGTTGCTTAAGCACCTTTGGCATCGAATCCGCACCACGCCTGACACACCGATCTCCCTAAAAGGTGACCTCCTTTGGTCTGCTATCGCGGGGGGAATACCATCCACGGTCCAGGCCCCATACTTGCGTGCACAACTCCAATACCTGCTACAACACCTTGCACCTGGTGATACGCCAGGTCCGTGGGAATGGTGTACAACAGGGGACGCTGCTACACCTGCTTCCGAGCAGGCCGACTTGACGATTCCCATGCCAATAAATCTGCCCTGGCAGCCTGCTCCTACCGCAGGTGGCCTATGGGGATGGGGTGACTCTGCCTTCAGGCCGCCATCCACCTTGTATGTGTACGTGCATGACCATACTACAGGCCATACATCGGCCGCTGGAACACATACTTCCTGCACGTGGCTGGCTGCTGCCGAGGAGGCATGTCAGCTCACCATCGAGCCTGATGCCAGACCTCCATACTCATGCCTGTATGAGGTACGATCAATCGTCTTGCATCGGATTTCCGGGGACCCTTGCAGCTACCACGCAGTGCATCGAAAACTGTGCGAAGATGTGCTGACACCCTTTGCACCAGCACTGACCGAAGCTGATCTGTGTGATATGCAGCCATGCATCTTCGTCCTGCGACGACGCTCTAGCCAGGTACCCTCTGGCTGATTGACTGTGGCGACTCCTTTTAGTTAACGTTTTCCAGCATGTGCAATCGACACTTGCTGTAGTTGCATCTGGCAGTTGCTGCGGCCCATGGGCACAGCATCGAGCTCCCTGGAGAGCTCCGGCATAAGACCGTGCTTCTCGCTAGGTGGACTGGATCCGCTGCGTGGGGAATGAAAATACTGCTACTTCTACTGCTACTGCTACTGCTACTGCTACTGCTACTACTACGACCACCACCAGCTCATGTGTTTCTTGAAGTTCAGCAGAGACAGACGTTCAAAGTAACTATAGACGTAAGCCCCCAGGGAGATTAAAGCAGAGTTGCCTGCATTGGGGTCCAGGGTTAAGGTTGCGGGGTCAGACGTAGGTGATGTGAAGAGTCGAGAGGTGATGTGAAGTCGCTCAGGGTTTCTGCTTTTGGGGCGGGTTGAAGGGGCTCAGGGGTAGCAGCTTAAGGTAGGTTAGAGTCTGCGGGTTTGAGGCAGTCTGGCTTCTGGAGTCTTACTGAGTCTGCCAAGGCGCCGTGAAGATTTCTTCAACCTCAGGCCCAAGTCCCACACAGACGTGCGGGTTTTGCTGAGACATGGCCCCTACTTGCCCAGAGTGACCCCGAAACCCTAAACCCCGAAATCCTTAACCCGCACGCCCCCGCACCCTTCCACTCAAGCCCTCACCCGTTGCTGAGGAATCCGGAGATGAGGCGCTACCCGTACTAGAGCACATCGACGTCACGGTCGAAAGCACGTTCTCGCGAAATTCTGCACAGCCGGGGCGCCCGGCATTGTGCCTCCAGGTAAGGGACCCTAATCCCGAAACTCGGCGCTAGTATCCTAAGTCTTAAGTACAAGGAGGTATGTGTACACTTGTCACCAAGTTCCCAGTCTCCTAACTCTACTTACCTGAATCTGCAATTGGCTGGCATCAAACCCTCAAACCTAATTAGGCCTCAAGCCGTCACCACGCAAGATGACCATCAAAGCTCAAAGCTCAACGCTAAACCCTAAATAAACCCTTAAGCCTTAAAGCCCCCTAAACTAAACCACACCCGAGCCCTCAGGGAACCTTTATGACTAACTCCGTACAAACCCTGCTTGGAGGATCATGGGACTTGGTAAGTAGGGTTCTAAGTGCCTGAATAAGGGTTGTGAGTAAGCACAAGTAAAGTTACCTTCCTTATCCCTGATCACTGAGTCGCATGATCCTTTATTTGTTGAACTCCGTGTATCCCTACACTAGACCCGAAGCCCCAAGCTCTAGACCCTGAGCCCTAAACTCTAACAGCCCTAAAAAGTCTTATATCCTAACCTTAGGCCCTACACCTCAAACCCTAAGCCCTACACCACACCCCCTACACTCTAAAAGTCCAGGAATCTCAAGTCCGAGCTTTAAACCCTACACCCGACACAACATCCCAAAGGATACAAACCCTAAACCCTTAACCCCTGAACCCTAAACCCCTAAACCCTAAACCCCTAAACCCTAGACTGTTACCCTAAACCCTCAACCCCTAAACCCCCCTAAACCCGACACCGCATCCCAAAGGATGCGGAGTTTGATGGACAAGTTCTTCGAGTCCATGGCCGATGACACGCTTGCAGAGGCGCGGCTGCTGTGGGGGGGGGGGGGACTGTGGGCTTAGGGTTTAGAGGTTTAGGGTTTAGGGGTTTTGGGTTTAGGGTTAATGAGTTTAGGGTTAAGGGGTTTAGGGCTTAGGGTTCAGGGGTTCAGGGCTTTAGGGTTTAGGGGTGTGGGGTTAAGGCGTTTAGGGCTTTAGGTTTGGAGGGTTTTTGGTTTTGGGGTTTCGGGCTAAGAGGTTTAAGGCTCCGGGTTTAGGGTTTAAGGGTTTAGGGCTTAGGGTTTTAGGGCTTTATGGTTTAGGGTTTAGGGTGTAGGGTTTAAGGGTTCAGGGTTAAAGGTTCAGGGGTTTGAGTTGAGGGGTCTAGGGTTCAGGGTGGAGGGTGAAGTATCAGGTAGGCTTATATCTCCTTCTAGTTATCATAGTTTCACTTTTTTGCTTGTCCGCTGTTCCAATTTTATGCCGTGCGCGTGAGATGACTGTATTTAGGGTTCTTGGGTTTCATAGGTGTTCGTCAGTAAGAGCCTGCAGTGTTCAGTTTTTCAGGGAAGTTTCGATATTGCGCCACATGGTTGGCCGTTAGACTTGAAAATTTCGTGGAATCGAGGACATTGAAGCTCTTGAACCCATCAACAACCACGGATGTGTTCATGCAAACAGGAGCATCAAGAACGGAAAGAGTACCTAAGAATCTCAGACTCAGGATCACAACGAGGCTGGTGCCAGTGGTAACAACCTCGAAGGACTTGTATTCGCGGCGTAGTACTGGCTCGTGATCACACTTGCAGTAGGGCGTACGTGCAGGCTTTGGGACTTCTGTGGCTGATGCCTTTTGCCGGGGCTGCTGCCACAGCTCCTCCTCCTCCTGCTATTGCTGCTACCGCTGCTGATACTTCCACTGCTACTGCTACTTGCTACCCCTACCCCAACCCCTACGCGTAGGCGTACTCGACTCCGACTAAGTCTACGACTACCAATGCTACCGCTACTAACTGCTCCTTCTTTGACTACTACCCCTTCCTTCTGCTGATGGTAGTAGACACGTTTTCATTCGCGCAGCCTGGTGGCCGTCGGCGGAACCCGGGTGGTCACTGGCTCCTGCAGCGGAAGCACACGGCTTCATCCATCAACGCCCCTTGGACGGCATAAGCGAGCCTGGTTTTTGTGTAGCAGTGGCCTGAAACCGTACATCCTTGCATTGGGTGGGTGACGAGGCCCGAGAAGCAAATCCATGAACCCTAAACCGCCCCTCAACCCGCAACCCCAGACCCTAAATCCTTAGACCTCGTTTGCAAGGCCCAAAGCCCTCGACCTCTTCAACTTCTAAGCGTTTTTAAGCCAAGAACGTCTTGTATGCATTCTGTGATGTTGACAGATGCACTTTAGGTTTCGGGCTTGTGCATCATCATCATGGCCGTTGCCAACACCGTGTGCATCATCATCTTCATCATCACTGTCATCGCCATCTTGATGTCCACCATTGCTATCCGCACCACACCACTATCAAAGCTGACAACCAGTTTCTTCTTTAAGTTTCTTGCCCCTCAGCATCATTTCTGCCCTCGTTGCTGGCCTCACCGACACCGCCACCATCATCATCATCGTCACCATCGCCGTCATTAGCATCATCTTCGTCATCATCATCATCACCATCATCATTATCACCGTCATCATCATCATCATCATCAGCATCATCATCACCATCATCATCTTCTTCACCATCGCCGTCATCAGCATCATCTTCACCATCGCCGTCATCAGCATCATCTTCGTCATCATCATCACCAGCAGCATCACCATCACTGTCATCATCATCATCATCATCATCATCATCATCATCCTCATCCTCCTCATCACCTTCACCGTCACCGTCATCATAAGCCTTACCAGCCTCATCAGCATATTCATCGCCTCCCTAAGCAGGCTGCAAGCTTGACAAGCCGTGATGTAAGCTGAGGCAGTGCCACTCGAAGAGTGCAACCGCGAGTGGAAGCCGACGGACACCAGCAGTTCAAGAGTTCCTAAACCCTAAGCCTTGAACCCTGAACACTTAAAACCTCAAACCCCTAAACTCTAAACCCTAAACCCCTAAACCCCATACCCTTAAACCCTAAACCCAGGGCATACAGTCAGGGTTTATGGTTGAGGGAATGCCCGGATGTGTCGGAAGATTAGACGATCGCACTAATTATATACACATGCTGCACATGCTGCGTTAGACCCCAACACCCTGTAACAACTATCCAGGCTTATTCAGACTCCCTAGGACCTAGAGTAGGCCCTTATTCCCTTTTTAAGGGTGCAGGTTTCCTTATAAGCCGCTTTAAACCAAAAAGGCACACCCTTTTTATTCCTAGGTTACTCTTGGGTCTAGTTCCTTTTTAAGGGTGCAGGTTCCCTTATAATTTAAAGCAAAAAAGGTACACCCTTTTTATTCCTAGGTTACTCTTGGGTCTAGCTCCCATCTGCGCAAGTCCAGGGCAGGGAGCCTGCAAGAGGCCCTACAGTCTTTAGGGTTTTAGGGCTTTAAGGTTTTAAGGCTTTAGGGTTTAGGGTTTAGGGTTTCAGGGTTTAGGGTTTAGGGTTTAAGGGTTTAGGTTTTAGGGTTTAGTTTTTAGGGTTTCAGGGTTTAGGGTTTCAGGGTTTAGGGTTTAGGGTTTCAGGGTTTAGGTTTTAAGCCCTCCTGCTTGTCGACATCCGTGAGCCTAAGCTCTGCTTCATCCTTCACCTGCGGGATTTGGGGCGCAACGGTCGATGATATAAATCCTAGGGTTCCTTTAAGGGGATCTTTAAGGGTACCTTTAAGGGGCTCCTTTAAAGGGATCTATAGGGTTTTAGGGTTTAGGGTTGATGATGTAAATCCTGCATTACCGTAAGGACCCTAAACTGTGGGGATTATGGTATATTCCCTATTATGGGTCATGCAGGACTTATATCATCAACCGTAGGGTTTGGAATTGAGACTTCCAGCATGTAAACCCCGCAGATACCCGATGAACACACCATCGAACACCAGGGGATATGTAAAGGGTGATCATCTGAAAGGGTTTGTGTGGGTAGTTTTCTTAAAGGAGGGCCCCTTCTTTAGGTCCTACACATAGTACGACACCCTTACAAACAGGACCCTCAAAGGGCCCCTATATTAAGACTTTAGGGAGAAGGGCTTTTCGGGCTCGGAGTTCGGTATCCCGCAATTTTTCAATTCTGTTAAGGTCTAGGGTCTAAGAGCTTTGCGCTTCGGGCTTTTTCTTTCAAAAGACGTCTACGGCTTGACCTTAGATCCAATGCTGCAGTGTCTGATTTCATGCTTTTTGCATCCTAAGCCGTGTTTGTCGCTTTTCTACAGAGTCGTTTCATACTCCAGCACAAATAAGCGCAGGAACTAAAGAAAGAAGACCTGTCGTATGGTTCTGAAGGGACCACA